TGTCTCAAACTACGTGTTGTGGTATTTCTTTTAAGTAGTGTATTATGACGTTTTGTGAAAAATCTGTACGTGGTGGAGAAAAATGGATATCATTTTCAGAATCAGCGTACAGGAATTATTGTAGAACATATAAAAATATCAAGACTTTAAAACCATCGCAGGCCTGTGTTATTTATATACAAAACTTCACACTTAGAGATTGTAGTTACAAAAACAAATAGGCCTAACCACAGTTGTCAATCATGCACTGTAAATAACTCGTCCAACCAGAAGAAGCCACAAGTAATAATAGTAGAATAATGGTATCATAGCAACAGTTGCTATGATACCGTACACTAAACCAGTAAAAGACACTAATAATTAATATCAATACGTGTCTTACTTAAAGTAAAGTATCACTGTTCTTTAATTTAATCAGACATACCTCTGAGTGCTGGCACACAACCCCACACCTTGACCATGCTGCGGCCAGAAAACTGACCAATGCATAACTCGAAGTAGTAAATGGGTTTTCCTATCAAGAACAACACGATGAAGTAGGGTATAAGAAACGCACCTAGCGGAAATAATACACAAATTGTCGTGATTAGTATGTATACACAATAAGAGGTTGAAGTAACTATAATTCAGGTAGGTTGAATATGTTATGTTAAAACGATTTTGAAGCCTCACTACCTCGTTATAGTCAATGTCGTCACGTTCAATCATGCTCTTTCGGCTCAAAATGCTCCGTCGTAAGATTGTCAAGTTCAAAGCACATCATTCCTCCCGATGCTTTCCACAATCCATCGTTATAGTCAATGTCGTCACGTTCAATTATGCTTTTTCGGCTCAAAATGCTCCGTCATAAGATTGTCAAGTTCAAAGCACATCACTCCTCCCGATGCTTTCCACAATCCATCTACTGTTCGAGGATGTCAATTTTCCAGTGTCCCTTTCAACAGTCCAATTGCCCAGAAAACCACAGTAAACTTGACCGGTACACCTTCCTTTAGAATAACATGAATACCAATTTTGTTGTACAGCTACTTGAAGTATGCAACTGTTGAACGGGAGGTGTGACTGAAAGCTTTATATTAGTGAACCAATACTCTGTTGGACTCGTTTGAAGCCGGAAGTCCTTCTTGATTATTTTGAGTGTTGTTGCCAGGGGCAAGTGCATGGCTTTTGCTACTGACCTTTCTGTTCATAGATTCTTATTTGTTACACCTTGCTTACTACAGTAAGCCATCTTTCTGGGTGCTCCTGCTACCCCACGTTGATTCATATTCTTTTGTTTTCCAATGGCATTAAGTTGAATGGACATATCCATCTTGGAGATTCTAGCTTCACAACCTGAACAAAACTTTGTGATTCGAGTGTGTGAATATTTTGCGTGGGAATTGGTCGTTAGAACCCATCCTCGAAGCGATTAATTTGCGGTGGCATCACACTATTTACAAACCGCCAAAAAAATGTCAAAATGTAGTTCTGATACATGCCGTTCCATATCGGCTTTATATCTGTTGTGGCCGTCACAAACTCGTTTTAACCTAACATACTCTACCCTGTACAAATATACGCCGTGTATTTCCGAAAAATAGTAATAAAAACGATGACGATGTTTTACTGTAAGGTAATAAAACCAAAGCAACAAATAAAGTAAATAGGAATTAACTGAATAATTAAACCAAGACGTGGATTCTGATCCACAAAAAGCAACCCAGCAGTAAAACTAATAATAAATTAAAATACAAAAACACCAAAAATGAACAAACTGACAAAATATCCCTCTTGATTGGTTTGGTTTGAATTTCGCGCAAAGTTAAAACGAGGGCTATCTACGCTAGCCGTCCCTAATTTAGCAGTGAAAGACTAGAGGGAAGGCAGCTAAGTAGTCATTACCACCCACTGCCAACTCTTTTACCAACGAATAGTGAGATTGATCGTAACATTATAACGCCCTACGGCTGAAAGGGCGAGCATGTTTGGTGAGACGTGGATTCGAACCCTCGACCCTCAGATTGCGAGTCGAGCACCCCCCTAAGCACCTGGCCATGCCGGGCCAAAATCCCTCTTCAACTACGTAAAATGTATTTGAGTAAATCCCTTTTGGGACCAACGATAGGCGTCTCAAAAATGTTGACCTTTTCGGGTCATAGTTCAACAAGAGTAACAGTGGTCATTTGTGACAATTTCTCACTTCTAATAGATAAAACTTCATAAATATAAAAGCTGCGTCATTGGAGTACACTTGATATATGGATATTCTAAAACATTCTTATCTATGATTGGCTGATTGAGTCACACAGTTAAATTAGAGGAACCATGGTCATCTTTGATAGGTTGACGGGTCAAATATGAAACTTGACCACATCATGTGATTCCAAAGCCTTTATCATTCCGGATAGTTTTTATATAGTTGTGTAGAAAGCGTACTAGAAGATAAATAACAGAAACGACAAGAAAGAGAAAATCCGGTAATCGTGAAGGACAGAGTGAAATAGTACACACCATGTCATCAGTGCGATGTTAGTTAAAATCCCAAAACATGCACTACCAATAAAAATACAAAATAATGTAATTTATTTAACTTGTATATCTAACAGAATAAAGAAACATCTCTCACCTCCACCATTGTCGTAAGCTAAACTTGGAAACCTCCAAACGTTTCCTAATCCTACTGATATGGAGATACAGGATAAAAGAAACTCAGCTCCTTTGGACCAGTTACCTCTATGCTTCCCGTTTTCTTGTTCTGGCGGTTTTACACCTTTCTCCAGTTTACTGGAAACCTAGCGAAGTTGAACATTGTGTAGATGTTTGAATATCACACAGAGGAAATATTTAATCCAAAATACAAACACAGCAAATGTTCTCTGCAAGTTTTAGTTGTATATTCTAATTCAAGTTTTGTATTATATGCAAGTCTTTTCATTCTATACTCCAGTTCAAGTTTTATGTCTCTTTTATGATATATTATTTCGTCAAACCATCAACATATAAAAAACTAGCATTATACATCAATGACGAAGGACATATATAGCATTATTTAAAAAAACTTGTATTAAAAAAAAAGGTGAAGAGCAGTTATGATCGAAACATGTTAGAAAATAATTAAATTTGGACGTATAACATTTTGATTTAATGTGTCTCTGAATCTAAGAATACTATCAAAAGAATCGTTAATATTAACCCTAACTTAATAACATCGGCTTGAAAAAAACACCCTAACTTAATAACATCGGCTTGAAAAAAACTAACCCTAACTTAATAACATCGGCTTGAAAAAAACTAACCCTAACTTAATAACATCGGCTTGAAAAAACAACAACAACTCAGAGCCCAAGAGTGTCGTTCTTTCAAATCAACAACAAAGGCATCAAGCCGCTCAAATCGATAAAATTACAATTAAATATATCAATAAGCAAATAAGCTTGCTCAGTGAAATTTGTATTTTGTTATCTAAAGTACAACGTAAAGAAAATTATCAAAACGTTATATTCTATGCTGATCGTTAACCCTAATTTGTATTTTTTTATCTAAAGTACAACGTAAACATGGTTATCAAAACGTTATCTTCTATGCTGATCGTTAACCCTAATTTGTATTTTTTATCTAAAGTACAACGTAAACATGGTTATCAAAACGTTATCTTCTATGCTGATCGTTAACCCTAATTTGTATTTTTTTATCTAGAGTACAACGTAAACATGGTTATCAAAACGTTATCTTCTATGCTGATCGTTAACCCTACATTCACTCATATTCTTTATTTCAATGATACATCACATTTTATCAACATTTGCTTAGAATTTATGCGAAAAGCTACCACATAAGAGCTACTTGAGTATGGCTGTCCGTAATTTTGAACTGATAGACTAGAGGGTCGGAAAGTGGCATTTGACTGTTACTCTTATATCGACTTGTTAAAGAAGAGGTAAAACATAACTTTAAATAAGAGTTGAGTACGTTATATTAAAACGATTTTAAATACGCAAATCGACAAGGAACGTGACAACCACAGATAATATGAAATTGGTGTGGAACACACGTATGAGGACTATATTTTGGATTTATTTGACGTTTTGTATTTAGTGTGGTGGCACCAAAAACACATACACTCAGAGCACAAGCATTTGTTTAGATCAGGGGGTTTAAAATTTCAAAGATGGGTATGTCCATTGTATTTAATGGTATTGGAAAACAAAATAATATGGATCAACTTGGTGTGGCAGAACCATCCAGAAAGAGATCTACAACAAGTCGTACTTCAACCTTGGTAAGCAAAATGTGGCGTCTTGTAAAAGGTAAGAATCTGTTAATTCAAATGTCACCAGCAAAAGTCGTCCACGTCCAACAATATGCAACATAATAAAAAAAGGACCTCAAACTGGAAATATAAAAACGGGATATGGGTTCACCAAAATTAGGCTTCCAGTCATACGTCCTTTTCAACCGTTGTATACCAAGAAGTTATAGAAAAAAGAGTGTATTCATGCTATTCCATACAAAGACATAACAGTCAAACTGCTTATATATTTCTGAGCAATCAGACTGTTGAAATGGGTGCTGGGAAACCGTTTATCCTCGTACACTAAATGGATTATGGAAAGCAACAGGAAGGAATGGTGTACTTTTGATATGAAAGCCTTTTAATGGAACTTTTTGAAATGAAAACTACGTTGCAGGGCTATTGTCAAGATGCACAGTTGGATAATAGACTACAACAGGGCATGGATATGATGACGTTGTGAGGCTCTAAAACTGTTTTAATATAACGTTCTCAAGCTCTGCACTCCGCAAGTTGATACGCAGACGTAACGTATTCTGTACGTGAAAATGGAAATTCTGTACCGCAGTTTGAATTGACAGCCAATTCGCGAGAACAAGCAACTTTTTATATATGTTCTGATCAACTTTTAACAATTGTTTATTGCAATATTTGATTCAAGTTTATAACATTTATGCTAATTGTATATCGGTCAATGGCACGAAGAATACATTAAGACAGTTTCTGGTGCACCTTTGATCGTAGAGACAGATTTCCAAAAATGGAACATCTGCCGAGGTGGTCATAATTTTTTCTGAGCAATATCCATCGCCAGAAGGCGCTAAATAGAGAAAAATATATATATTTTGAATGCAAAAGGTATTGTATTTTTTAAAAGTTCAAAATATATGTATTTATGCTAATATAAGCTAAAAGATTAAAACAAATGTGCATAGTACCCAAATGTATGGAGGGTGGGTTAACTTTTGAAATCCAATAAATCGGGAACTGTACTGATAACATAAATAAATCAAATATGTTTTAGACCCCTACAGTATAGGAAGTTTACCAACTGTCTTTGTATATGAAACAGAATTAGCTGGTCTTTTTGAGAACGGCTCACCAGTGTTAGATGGGTGTGCTTTCACAGCGACCTCTAATGATAATAGTAGTATTGAACAAATTTTGACGAGTTAAAAGATCCAATTTTAATTTTAAACTTGATAAGATATTACGTATTTTTAGTGTACTTGAAAAACAACAACAATAAATTAACAAACGAATCTGCCAACGCTTCCTTATATATGAATGATGTTCAAAAAAGCATCATTTGTTTGTATAAAATAAGAACAATAAAAGGAAAATCATTAGTTATTACACTGCTGTTCGGCACATTAACTAATAGTTAGCCCCCCC